AAATTATTCAGAAGTGGAATATGCCTGAAAATGTAACTAAAAATGCCATATCACAAATGTGTCATATATAATATATCTCGTAGGCTGGACCTCTCTGTCAAGTCACATTTACTAGCACCAAAAGTTTATGTCCCAAAAGAAATCAGTAGTTCCTGTAGCAGTTCGTAGCTTGTTGCAAGTTGCTGCATCCAGTATACAATGCAGCTCAAAAATCAAGCATGTATTCTTCACTTCAGGACATGCATTCCACAACCAGTTGTAGCCCTCTCCCATTTTTTGGATAAGCAAATTTTATTCTGTTGTGTTCTTCTAATGCACATAGTATTACAAAACAGTTAAGAGTAAACTGTACCTGTTTGGCTTACTCCAGAAATCCAAATTTTCAGACGTGGTGCCAAATTAATTTTCGTATATATTTTTTCAGTTCATTCATGTTGAGAGGTGCTTCCTACCTTCTGAAATATCATACTGCTGCTCAGGAGCGAATGGGTATAGTTTCTCTTTAAATAATGTGAAACATATGGAAAGTGGATTATACTAGAACTTTACAAAGAATTTCCCTCCTTCCCCCCAAACCACAGTCATTCAAATATTATCCCAAATGTGTTCCTTGCATAGGCAAAATAGGTGAAATTCCCACTGCACAGGTCATAGGCTATGTGAGAATTGCAGGAATGGATCCTATGTAGTGCTCCTGAGTGCTAACATTTCCATTAGTTTTTATAGTAGCAGAAATGGTATGTCTGTGGATGTTTTAGGGGCTCACCATTTCCTAAGCACTGTCAGGATCAAGCACTAGAATATAAGCTCCCCCCCCTCTTTCCCTCCCTCCCTCCACACACTTCATTTCACCTAGTTGTTATGGCTTGCTTTAAACTAGGACTGTAAATTCTTTGGGGGCAGAGACCGTTATTATTATACGTCTGTGCAGTACCTAGCACAATGTAGCCCTAACTTGGTTTAGGCATCTAGATGTTACTGGAATGCAAATTTATAATGTGAATAATTCAATGTACATCCAAAATAAGGATATTTACATATGGATACACATTCAAAGATTTGGTGCTGGAGATAGAACACAAGGGGAAAACTAGTGGCAAAGTTCAGTATTTAATCTTTGATAAGCAGTATCATTTACTGCTATTTGCAGAGTATTTGTTTACATGACAGATATCCTCTGCCAACATATTGGCAGTGAAATTTGTCTAAATTAAAAATAAAAGATAAACGTTATTTCTTAAGGTCCTGCAAATACTTACTCATAGAGGATTTCATGAGAGACAAAAAGGATGACTTTTTCAACTAGTGTAGCTCAAATAAGTTAGCATAACACAATCGAAAAGCCCTGTTAGGATGCTGGCTAACACATCTGAAGATGCCAGCAGATTGAGGGACGTGATCGTTCCCCTCTAGTTGACATCGGTGAGGCCTCATCTGGAGTACTGTGTCCAGTTTTGGGCCCCACACTACAAGAAGGATGTGGAAAAATTGGAAAGAGTCCAGCGGAGGGCAACAAAAATGATTAGGGGGCTGGAGCACATGACTTAAGAGGAGAGGCTGAGGGAACTGGGATTGTTTAGTCTGCAGAAGAGAAGAATGAGGGGGGATTTGATAGCTGCTTTCAACTACCTGAAAGGGGGTTCCAAAGAGGATGGATCTAGACTGTTCTCAGTAGTACCTGATGACAGAACAAGGAGTAATGGTCTCAAGTTGCAGTTGGGGAGATTTAGGTTGGATATTAGGAAAAACTTTTTCACTAGGAGGGTGGTGAAGTACTGGAATGGGTTACCTAGGGAGGTGGTTGAATCTCCTTCCTTAGAGGTTTTTAAGGTCAGGCTTGACAAAGCCCTGGCTGGGATGATTTAGTTGGGAATTGGTCCTGCTTTGAGCAGGGGGTTGGACTAGATGACCTCCTGAGGTCCCTTCCAACCCTGATATTCTATGATTCTATGTATTAGATGGCTATGTTGTAGTCTACGCTCTCGCCAGCCATCCTCCCTTGGCTACAACACAGCCATCTAATACATCTTCAGACATGTTAGCCTGTATCTTAGCAGGGTTTTCAATGGTGTTAAATTAACTCCATTGAGCTACCATGATTGAAGAAAAAAACATATCCTTTTCGCCCATCAAGACGGGGTCTTATGTCCAATGCTTACTAGCATGAAGTCAATGCAGAATGCCTGGCACTGAGTTTTTGCAGCATTGAGCCCTTAAGAAGGACCACAAAAGCTTTGGATTAAGGAAGCATGCACCAACTTGCTTCTGCTTGATCCGTTATAAAGCTTGACAGTAACAGATAGCCACTAGCATTAGTGTCAACGTTCTGATAAGTTTCTTTCAATATCTGTCACAAAAACAGTGACTGTATCAGTATGTCAGCTGCATTATCAGTCACTATATAGTTGATCATACTTAATAACACCTTCAAGTGCAGAGAATCCTAACAAGTATCAGAGACTGCAACTACTATAGAGCCACAGAGTCACCCAGATCATTTTGACTGCAAGCTGGTAACATCATTCATTCACCGAGTGGCTGCCTCCCGCCCTCTCTCTCGCCTCAGTATATTAACTTGCCTCAATATGGAGCTAGAATTTGTTTTCAAACTCTTAACAAGATCACTGAAAGAAAAGAGGAGAAATCCTATCAATGTGCCTCTGGACTGCTTCCAGAGTTGCGTATTCTCTTAACAATTGCTCTGGAAGCAGGCCAAAAATGGGCAATGTTCTTGCAAATGAACTCAAGTACACGTTATCATTTAATTCCTTTGTCAACATTGCTGTGGTTAGAAATTAAGAAGCCTATTTACTAAACAATTTCCTTGAATTCCAATTACCAAACACTGATTCCCTTCCCCCTCCCCCATTACCCCTGCTTTCCCTTTGGCTGGGCACTTTCTCTCCTTTACTGAAAGTCAAAGAAAATTAGTATTATAATTATAGGCCTATCCATGATTCACATCATCAACTGTGAGTTAACTAAGATGCTTTAAAAAAAAAAAGTCAGTGTCGCTAGAGAATACCTTTGAAAGTTTCAGAACGTGCTTTGATGGGGCAGAATGATTTTAATACTTTTAACAGAACCTAGACACACCGTATTGAACTGATGTGTGTAAGCAGTTTTTCACATTATAACTGTTAATGAGATCACCCTCCACATGGTAGAAACTCAGCCCTTTCCCCCACAATGCTGAAAGAGTGCTGGAAAGATCCCAGATCAACTCCACACACTCCAACTATGTACCAAATCTTCCATTGTAACCCCTGCTGAAGGCAATCATGTGAGTTTCCTGAGGACTAAGGATTCAGGATGAGACACTGCTTTCTTTCTTTCTTTCTTTCAGTATGAGCCAAATCCTGCAGTCCTTTTCCAATCCTTACACAGGCAAAACTCTCATTAGACTCATTGACTGCAGGGTTTAATCTTAGACAAACCCCAAATTAAATCAGGTATACACGTCACTACCTTGATTCTTCAATGCCTGTAATGGTTTTACTTTTTAGTGTTTTCTCACTTTCACATTTATTTTTATATCATTTTTTTCTGCAGCACTACAAACAGACAAGTATGTTTCTATCATATGCTACAAGAAAAGTCTGACGGATATCAGTTTCTGTGATAAATATATTTGGAACCATTACTCACTATACAAAGTACCTAGTATCCTAGAACCTTCACTGTAAACAAAACAGCCTGATTGTGTCACACTTCTGTTCAGAATTGCCTTTGTACCCAAGTAGCCCCATTTAAATCAGTGGGGACACTAATTGCAGAGTATATATGAATACGGGTGACAGAATCAAGACCTAAAAAGATTGTTTTCAAAAAACAAACTACTTTGAGATTTTTATTCACTAGCCAGGGTGAAAATGTTAATCCTGTGTGTTACTCTGAAGTGTAACTGCTTTCCAATAACCTAACACTACCAGATGAACTACATGCTGAAAATACAAAATAAAAATCTCTCCACAGTCTTGGATTTCCTGATAATTTAACTAGACCCAATGTAATCCATAAATAACCGAAAAGTTTTATTTCTAAGATTCTAGCTGAATTAATTTTATGTAGAAAAATATTGATTGAAATTCTGCCACTCGATATTTTGATATATTCTGTTTGAAACAGATTTAAAATAAATAAATCTACTGCATTTGCACAGGAGTGAGAATGAAATGCAGATTCAAAACTCTGTAGCTCAGTTTTCATTTGGAGTATGCGCTATACTTTAGCACAAATTCCATATATCCTGAGTTTTATTTTCCTTATAATTTTCTGTCACAAAACATATGGACCAACAGCAAATAGTTTATATCAGGGATCGGCAACCTTTGGCACACGGCCCACCAGGATAAGCACCCTGGCGGGCCAGGCCAGTTTGTTTACCTGTCGCGTCCGCAGGTTCGGCCACTCGCGGCTCCCACTGGCCACGGTTCGCCGTTCCAGGCCAATGGGGGCTGCAGGAAGCAGCGGCCAGCACATCCCTCGGCCTGCGCCGCTTCCCGCAAATCCCATTGGCTTGGAGTGGCGAACCGTGGCCAGTGGGAGCTGCGATCGGCTGAACCTGCGGACGCGGCAGGTAAACAAACTGGCGCGCCGCATGCCAAAGGTTGCCGATCCTTGGTTTATATAATGCTCACATGCAAGAACGTTAATAAGGTCTTCTTAGCAAGATACAATCTGCTCAGTAGCATTACAAAGAACTACACGGAATGTCATCCTGACCTTATTTCTGTGTGAACTGTAATTTCTGCAACTGTATTTACATTAAACTGTGCTCTGAATTGCCTGGTTTATATTTGAAATGCAATATGCAACTGCTGACTTCCATTCCTGAAACAGCTGATTGTTTTAAATTAGCCAATGTGAAGTGTATAGATTCAAATGCTCAAAGTATTAGTATGGGCCTAATAACATATTTTGATGCAAAGACAATAGAAATGTGACTGTAGAACCCAACTGCTATTGTAGGATATTATTAAAAGTGTAGGTTTACTCACGTTCACAAGTGTCTCCTTTTTGCTGGTACCCAGCTTTGCAGATACACTTTCCAATAGGCACTAACCATTCTCCTTCTGCACTACAATGCATCCTAGGAGAGTTATCAGCCTCCTCTTCTGCGCTGCTGACACAAGTTCCTCGTACCTCAACTAGAGAGGAAAACTCTGAGCCAGTCACTGTATCTGGAAAAATAGCTAAGTTCTCAATAATAGACCAGCATTTCTTGTAGTAGACTTTGACAGAAACCAAAGCAATGCAGGCACCTACATCTTGAAATGCAAGATAAAATCCTTTCTTGGACAAAGGTCCAATCTCTCTCACCTCTGTGTTAAGTTTCATTTTTCTCTCCCCAAGGTCACCTTGGGTAAAACTTTCATCTGCTGCAATGGTGTCTATTTTTACATACTGATTTTCTCGGATATTCCGGCCAGTGTCGTAGTCTGTTTCATAATAATATAAGTTAAAAGTTTCTTTACATGTCCCCAGTACTCCAGGAAGACTGTTACAATCCCTCAGAGTGAATTTCAGTTCTACAAAAATCCTTTGTGCATTGCCTTTTGCAATCCAGTTAGTCCGAAGCCAGTTATTTTGGTTAGGTTCCATGACCTGGCATACCTGGTATGTTCGTATAGGAGTGTAATTTTCATCCAGTCCACTAATTTCTTCCCACTAAAACAACAACAAACAGTTATTAATACAAGACAGCATTTTACTGCTGTACTAAATCCGTACATATATAAAAATACTCTGACACAGGTCTGGTCTTCCTCCTTTGTAAACAGTGAAGCCTCATAAAAAATAGTGGAGTATTATTAAAATGCTAATGTTTTGTGTAAGAAAATCACAAATTTTAATGGCGTTCTAGTTTGTGTTTCATGTATTTTAACATGTGAATAACCTTCAAAATATATTATTCATATTACAACAGTTTACAGTTACATTAATTACAAGTTCTAGAAAGTACTGTACAATATACTCAAATACAGCTTATAGTTGGGGTTCAGTCCTACATTTTCTTACATCAATCAGAACTTTAGGTAAGCCAGGAATGAAGAAGGTGATCAATGATGTGCTGCTAGAAACAAATCTACAACCAACAAAGAAGTCTCAGAAACTGAGAGCCCTTAATCTTGCAGTCCTTGTGCATCTAAACCCCAGTGACACTTTTTGGTGCACAAGCAATGAGCCCTGACTCTTTACTAGTAACTGTAATCTGCGTTTGAAATTATTATTTTTACACTTTAATTTATTACCATTATTATGATCATCATCACATTTTGCAGGGAAAACAAACTGAAAATGAAGAAAAAAAGAAATCCCGAAGATGACATTTCCAGCTGTTTTATCACTTTATGCATTTAGGACCATTTTCAGCTCCCATGTACAAGCTACAAACCTGATCCTGCAAACCCCTACTCATACAAATAGGCTCACTGACCAATGGTGAAACAATCTTACCTCACTACAATGGGATTTCATTTGAAGTCAATGGGATTACACACTTGAGTAGGGGCTAATCATTTGAATAAGGATTTACAAGTTCAGGGCCTGCTTTCCTTCTTTTTTCATTTCTCAGGCACCATGGTATCTAGGTGCTAAAATGGTAAATGCACAATAATTCCATTGTTTTTACAAAGTTGGAAACAAATCCCAGACCTATTGAAGTCAACATCAAAACTCCCACTGACATCAGTTGAGCTAAGGTTAGACCCTTATTCCAGATTTACCCAGGTATAACTAAAAGCAGAATCTGGCCCTTACACTTTTTATAAATGTATTGCAGTGCTCAATTCATAGCAGAAATTACAACTTAAATAAAATGGGAATCATTTAAAGAGTTCAATTAGTTAAATGGTGTCTAATAACACAGCCAACTAGAGCTCAATCCCTCCAAGTGCCCATTTCAACAAAGCACTTAACCACATGCTTAACATCAGTGGAACTACTCATGTGCTTAACATTAAGCATGTGTTTTATTGGATTGGCTAGAGCACACAGCACCTGCCAGGATTGAACACCTATAGAATGTGCTGTTACTGACAATCAGGCAGGAAAGGCAAACACTAACGGACACTGGTTTCCCAGACCAAAAGTCATGCAGCATGCAATACTTCATGAGCCTACTTGACAGCAAATGAGATAATTTAATGTTGCTCTACTACTCCAAGAAAAGTAAATGTTGATGAACTGATGCTGGAAGTTTTTACCACAAAATATATTATGGCTGTAAGTGTTGAAATGTACAGAAGCTGAACATATCAAAATGCATTTCAAAGTATGTCAGTTACTATAGGTATGGTATATATGGTACCACACATCTGGTATTCGCTTACAGTAAAATATTATGAAATGTTTCTATAGTTAACAAATGATTACATTTTAAAACCTAATACTCTTTAGAAAGGAAGAAAGCTTATCTTCATTATACATTTAATAGATTTTAACTACCAAGATTTTTTTTTCTCCTATATGGACTAGTATTGATAAGGTTAGCAAAAAAACAACAACAAAAAATAAACATGACCATGGAGCAGGGCTTTTGGCATTACTGCAGTTCAAAAAACAGTTCACAAAAAGGGCTCAGAGCCTAAGTTCACTCTAAGAGTTTCACTCTGCTGCTCTCATTCTCAGTTTCATTTTGAGTATGTTATATTTTATCTCATGTAAGCAGTTTTCCCATCATGATCGAGATCCTGCTCTCAGATATTCCAAAGTTACAATAGTGTAACATCTTTGAAGTCAAATGAGTTACCCTAGCGTATTCAAAGAGCAGAATACAGACCACTGATCATCTGAATTCCTTTCTTCCCTCCCCCAAATCCTCCAAAATAATCATAAAAATACAAAACTCTGCATTGGGTAAGGTAACACAAACCAGAAGAAGAGCCAGAGATTCCATGCTTGTTAATTAATGTAATTAATCTTGGAGGTGCTCAGATTACTCCTTTGGATGGAAAAAAAAATCCAGTAGAGATCATCTCTTATGCTAACACCCATCGTCACACCTTCCCCATCTTTCTAAAACCACGGGGAAGATCATAAGGATAGTTTATATGCATTTGTTTGTTGGTTTATCTAAAAAAATTCAGTAGTCATAGCTGTACTACTCAAACATTCCTCTGAAAGGGTTCAAACTTCCTCCCTTTGATAGGCACATGTTATAGATACTTCGGAGCATAATTGTATTTGTCTACCATATTTGAAAACTACTGCTTAAAAAAATCATCTTGGAATGATTTGAACACTATACTTGATTTTTCAGACACTTAATTTTTTTTATTTCACTTTATCCCATTGTTTTATATATATATATATATATATATATATATATATATATATATATGAGAGATATACATGAAGTTATCTTCCTCCACTAATACATATTGTATACCTACACCATATTACACGTTAATTCCTTTAGTTATATAAAACATGTTTCATGCCACTCAGAGCCAGAGAGTACATTTGAAATGTAACTAGCATAGGATGAGGTATTGGTTTCTCTCCTCTATTTGTGCATGTTTTCATGATATTTGTACTACATGGGGAGAATTAAATGCAGCTGAATTTAACAAAAAAATTTACTATATTTTTAATTTTAAACACCATCAATAAATTGTAATTTTTTGTTAATTTATAGGAAACTATTTTTTAGCCATCCTCACTGACTATCGTTTAGCTGTTATTTTGGATTCTCAATGTTCCTTTGAATCCATATTTCTAACCTAAAAAGGTCATCTTTTTACCATTTGTACAATATTAGTCAACTATGTTTCCACCTTTCATCCTCAAATACGTTAGCAAAGTTCATACTTACATTACCTCCAGGCTAGACTACTGCAATTCTCTTCTAACTAATCTTTCAGACACCTCTATTAAAAGGCTTCAATCAATGCAAAATGCTAATGCCAAAGTTATTATCCATCCTAAGCGTTCGGCTCACATTACGTAGTTTCTCAAGTCTTCAGACTCATTACCGTTTTGTGCTTGTATTGATTTTACGATCTTGCTTTTAAACTAAGACACTTTCAGATTTTCATTCTTCTTATTTAAAGGATTTGTTACACTTTTATAACCTCACTCACATGTCGCGCTCTTCTGGCTCCAGATTTCGTAAGGCGCTGAAGATTAAGGGCCTGATCCTGCAAGCCCTTATTCACGCGAGTAGCCCCAAAAAAGTCAATGAAATGGCTTCCAGGAGTAAGAACCACTCACATGACTTCAGGTTTGTAGGATTGAGCTCTAAGGTAAATATAACTGGCCATACTCTCCTCTCTTGAAATGTTCTTCTTCAAGAGATGAGGGATGTTAATTTCTAATTAAGAGCTGAAGACACAGCTATTTGCATGTTGATAAGTTTTCATAGAACATCTTGGGATGCAGTTGTTCTAAAAGGTATTGCAGTGTATAAATGAGAACTAGGCCCAAGCCACAAAATTTGGACTTAGAGCCAGATTTCAAGCTCCTTAAAATTTGGGAATGTTCAGGTCTGGGTTTTGGTTTAGACCTATCTCTAATACCTATGTTTATATTTCAGAGCACTGCGCTATTCAATTACAACAAATATATTGTATATAAATTTCTTATCACTGTTTAGCTGGAAAATATCAAATAACATGTTCTGAGGCAGTTTCCATATACAAATATATTTGCTTCCAAAAAGAAAAAGAGAAAAAAAAAGATATTTAAAATACAGTGTCACAAGTACCACAAAGGATTACACTACAAAGCATAAAGCTAATAAAGGGGTTTAGGTGAGTTACTGAAGAGACTCTTCCTTGTAATTGGCTTGCTTTTGTACACTGTAACCTGAGGTCTGCTTCTTTTCACAACAGAAACTTAAGAGCCGTAAACACTCACTATGATTCCTAAGGGAAATTTGGGAAATACCAGCTTGTTTAAAGCATGTGTAAAAATTTGTCTAGATGAGACACTCAGCAATGTTTGGAGGGGTTTTTTTGTTTGTTTGTTTTTTCTTTTTCTTTTTTTGAATACTTACCCCATTGGGAGGAAAGGAAATCCACTCCAACTCTGTCTGTTGTGCTTTAGAGTCCAGCAATATTACTGCAAGAGAAAAAGTTTCCACTATGTATTAAAGAAAGAACTTAAGAATTTTACTAAACTAAATCAAAAACTTTGTGATGAAATTCAACAAGAATGTATATACAGTCTTCTTTTTATCAGTCAATATTATTTAATAAAGGAATAAATATATTATGTATGTTCACCACTATATGCATGTTTGTAATTAGAACAGTTTTTATATTATTTAAGGTATGATATTCACATATTTTATTAAGCAGCAATATTTAAATCTTATTTTTTACTGCATCTTTCTCTATGCCTGTCTACACATTTATACTTAACATCTTATTATCTAAGTGTCATAAAAAGGTTTAATTGTGAATATGTGTTCCTCTTGTTCCTTATTACAAAGGATATTTCCCATGTACTTTTCATTAAAATTAAGGTTTTTTTTAAATGAAATTCGGCAATATTTCAACATTGTCCAGACTGATTTGGACATTGCTGGACACTACATCCTGCTTGGATCCCCACTCTGAAGTCAAGGGTAGTGCACAAGAAAAGATGGTCCCTTAATACTTATGAGACTATTAATTTAAACAAGTCAATATATGACAAATAAGATTCCACAAAATAAGGCTTTGTACTTATGTAGCATTATGCATTTTCAAAATACTGAACGCGCATATTAGTTAGAACTAATTCTTGTGCAACATTTTATTAAATACATATTTTCATATGTGTATACATATCCAATGAGACTTCTAAAAGAAGTTCTGATACACAAAGCTGTTAATTAAATGTGACTTGCTGGTAAAAAAGTGTTTAATGCAGACTTCTCAATCTTAGTCCAATAAACAAATCATTAAATATAAATATAAAATGTCCACTTTATTACATATTGGGGAAAATCATATTGATATTTTGACAACAATCAGCATGAGATTGTATTTAATTATAGTCTTAAACCTCAGAATATATTATTGCATATGTTTTCACAAAATTTTTAAACAGCACTTACATTAGTTAACCTTGAAATTTCTAAGGAACTCTATGAAATAACTTCTTAGATTTCATTTTAAAAAATAATCTTTTAAACTGGAAAGAGATAAATCCTAATGTTATATCTGTCTATATATGCTACATTTTTGGAACAAAAAAAGTCATATTTACTGCTTAACAAATAATTGTTCCATTTTTAACAAAAGAGAAACATTTCAATTTCAAATAACCACAATATACATTTTAATTATAAAAAAGTATTACAGCTCTACCAATACCAATGTAAAAGGTTTTATATGAGTAAGTAGTTACATATATTTCGATCTTCTGCTTTATTTCTTAAACTTGATTTCAGTATAATTAACTTTTTGTTAGGTAGAGCAATACCTTTGGTTTATAGCCTATGTCAAATATAATTTAGAATAATAGTTTTTTAAAACATTATTAGAAGGATCGCAACACTTTTTTTACATAAAGGTTCATGCTGACACAGGAATAGCTAAAACATGTTAAAGACAAAACTGTAACTTCCATTTCTGTAAGACAACATACACTTGAGCTAATGAATTAAATTTGCTATTCTCTCTTTACATAGATTATCTTCTTAATTAATTAATCTCGCTATCTAAGGGGCTTTAACTAGCAATACTAGGTAAAGAAGAGTTGATGGTGTGTGTGTTGGCTTGCTAATCAAGGACAATGCTGATAAGCTAAAAATTTAGGTACAGTGCAAGTTTAACCCCTTCATCACCATGCCCATGAAATAGTGGATGGCCACATCATGTGTAATCTGGCAGTAATTCTTCATTAAAAAGCAGTGCCACATAGATGACCTTTACATAATCATATGGCATACTCCTCACTGCACTAAAAGTTATTGGGAAATATCTTTCCTACTCGGACGTTTGTACAATGCCTTGAATAGGTAAAATGCAATATGAAATGCTAATTTCCTAGTGCTGTCTTAATTTTCAAAAGTTATGTGGGTGACACAGCCTTTTTTATTACACAGTTAGAGTCTAGATCCAGCATGTCCCGTTTCTGAGATAAAGACACTTTCCCCAAGAGGTGGGCAACATTCTCCATCTACTTCCCAAGACAGCCCTTAAGTTCTTCTATGCATTGCTCAAAGTGAACAGGAGCTGAGCTTCGGAACTTCTTGTTGTTGCAGAAACGGACTAGCAACGCTACCCAGTTTTGAAGAAAGGCAAGTCTGCCTGGTTCATTCACTGCGTTACAACGGACACAAGACAAAGCTGGGACAGACGGAAAAGTTGCTGGGGAAGTCAATTGAAGGCTTTAATCCTCCCTTTTCGGCCTGAATTATTCACTCCCTCCGGTGCCCCTTGCGCTGAGCTCCCGTGCGCTCCCCGAGCTGGGGACTCCCCCACGGGCTCTGCACCCAGTCAGAGGGGCGCGCTGTTTGCGGAGAGCCACGGGCAGCCTCTCGCCTCCTCCGCACCCCCGACCCAAGCTGAGATCTCCCCCTAAGCCACCGCCGGGGCCCTCACTTCGGGGCTGGGGTTCAAATGCCGCCAGTCCGCGCTGGCAAGGCATCTCCGTGCCCAGCTCACGGGTGGAATCGTGCCCCCCCCCCCTTCAAGTCAATGGCAAAGGCTCCCCTTGGCTTCAACAGGGCTGAAGCAGCCTTTCCGAGCTCAGCAGCCGCAGCCTACGGAAGGCAGGAGGGAGCTGAGTCAAACGTGGTGTTTAACCTGTGTCTAACCTCCGAGCCATGCCGCTGCGATTCCAATCAATGCCTCCAAGGGCTGGAAGGCAGCGAACTCACTGCCCCGTGTAAGCCAGCGCGCACCCCAACCCCGGGACCCAGTCTCAATTCACCCCACATTCAGGATCCCTTTATGCTAAACTTTTCAGACCCGGCCTGGCTGGGTCACCTCTGCCCCTGCAAGCTTCCGCCTCCCTAGTCAGAACCCCATCACCACCTCTCCCCCTCGAGGCGCCTATTTATCCAGCTCCTGCTGGGAAAACTTTGGGACTTCTCGGATCTCTCCTCTCTTACCCCCAGCCCCTCTGCCTTGCTAGTTTCCGACGGAGAAGGAGGTGTCTGCAGAGGGCTGGATTCTCTCATCACCATAGACGGTGAAATCCAAAGGCAACGAAAGTTACTTTGCGCAGGAGATTTGCAGCAGGTTAACAGCCATAGGGATCCGAAATCCCTGCCTGCCTGCTGCTCCCCCCTCCTCCTGCCAGCTCAGCCTACAGCCCACGAGCTGTTGAGCGCTCGAAGCGGAAACACAAACTCGAGGTGTACGTGGGACTCTGTCCCGGTGAGCAGAATGTCACAGCTCCAAGCGAACTCCCCATGCAGCCTGCACAAAGCAGCTCCCAAGCACAGCTCCCCACTCCTCTCTGCGCTTCGCTTCCGCTCACCTCCTGCATTCAGCCTCTCTCGCCCTTCCAGGAGTTAGTTCATTATTCTATTTTTTAAATCTCTTCAAATAAACTTTGGAAATGCGGCCCAGGACGGGCCTTTGGTGTTTCTCCGCCCCCCCCCCTTTTCTATTAGGGACAAAGAACATCTTAATTGAGAGAGGGAGCTTAGTTTTAAAGCTCCAGCTACAGGCTCAGAAAGGTACTTTACCTTAAGCCAATGGTTCAAAGACGAATATTGACATATCTGGGAGAGAAAAAACAACCCAAGTCCTCTCCTCCCAAAGATGGAAACTGATACCACACTATCAGTGTTAAAAGGTCTCATTTTTAGTTCTCCCTCCCCACCCCATACGAAAAGAAATGCCCGGACTGACTTTCTGAATTGATTTTTATGTTAGTCTCTGATAGAAAACTGCCTGTGCTTTCTTTTAATAGGAAATATTATGCGTTTGTTTTATGTAAAATAGACTGATGCTGGAGTGATGGGATTTATGAAGCCCTGTTTGTGATACGCAGATGGAGCAAACATCTCTATCTATATACATCTAGTCAGAGATGCCTACAGATGATTAGATAATATACAATTTATACTGACACACAGATATAATACATGTATATAGCATCCTATAGATCCATCCCTCGGATACATTTAATTGAACCCCAACATGATCTATGCCACATCTTTCCGCGTAGCGTCTCAGTCCCACCGGCTTCTGAGACCTGCAGGCCCGCATCAGCAGGAAACGGAGAAGCGGACTTTTATTAGACAGTTTATGATTACCTGGGGGACTAACAAAAAGTCCCCCCCAACCCCTTTGGGGAGCGTCCAGAGTCGTGAAACTCCGTTGCAGTCTTGGCTGTGGCACTCTGGTTGCGTGCCCCTGACAAACTACAGTAGCTTCCACCCGGAGGGGGAACGGGGGAATTCTTATCCTCACCTTACTAACAGCATTAATACTACGAGTACTATTAACAATTCAATAGACAGTATCCCCTGCATTGACCCCCCTCCCCAATATATCAGCTCTTCAAGTGCAATGCCTTGCAAACCCAATTCCTTAAATGAAATGCAGTTTGCCCCGACCTCCCTCCCTCCCTCTCTCTCTCTCACACACACACACACACACACACTGCCCGTGGTGGATGCCTCTCCTCTACCTCAGTAAGAAGCTGTTTAACTAGGGGAAGGGGCTGCATGCAGTGTGCAACAGACCCAACACTAAAACATTGCAATGTGTGCGCACGGAAATAGATAAGCCCAAACTTTGTTTTCTGCATCACCTTACCTTCTTTTGCAGCCTGTGCCTCCCCCGTGTGTGCAAAGCGAAACAGCCAGATGGAGCATAAAATAATCCAAGAAGGGAGCCTAGTTTGAAAAACCATGATGCAGGAGCAGGATATTTTTATATGTACTGTACGATCGCTGCTGCTACTGCCGCCGCTTGTTGGGGATTAAAGGGTTTGTTCTGCTATGTGTTTTATTTTGCCTTTGCATGGAGCTCTCTCTCCCCCGGCTGCCTGCTCCTCTTGCCTATGCGTTTCCGCACACCGTATTTGCTGCCTGCGAGTCTCCGACTGCAGCCTGGCTGCTAGCTCCACACTCCAATAATATCAATTAGGGGGGGAAGGGGCGGGGCCGGAGCCAGGAGAGCGGGCCGTCCCTCAAAGTGACTGGCAGTCGCAGCCGGCCTAAGAGGAGCGGCAAGCTATACCGGGGAGGCTGAGCCGGGGAACGAATCGCCCCGGCAGTGGAGGCGGGGCCGGCGGCGCTGTCCAATGAGCGGGGGAAGGTGTCAGGCACAAGATTCTCCGCAGGTTGAGTGTGTAGCCGGGGCCGGGCGTGAATGTGGAGTGGGCATGGCGGGACTGGGAGCCGCGCTCCAGGCAGGCTCGTTACTGCTGGGGATTGCAATAAAGTAAAGACAAGAGTAATGGTTAAAAAAGACAAGATCTCTCAGGATGGCGTAAAGGAGACTGGCTTCACAAGCCCCAGTCTTTAAGGAGACGGTGATTTTCTGATCGTTCCTCTAAGTCAAGTGATTCACTCTCAGGGCACTGACTCTTTAGACCATCCCTCGCCTGCTAACTTTGCTAATTATCTTTCCTGCAGCATCCCCGCCGCCACCACCAAATTAGTTCCCCCGAGTGGGCACCGCTCGAAGTGGGTGTTGAACGCAGTGTGTTTTACTGGTCACAGTGAAATAGCACGTTTGCAAGAGTTTTAAACAAGCCCGGACCAAGGTAGCAGGGGGAAAAGAAAGGAAACCCCCCAAACAACGTGAGCATTTAAAAAACCCTTTCGATCGCGGCATCCGTGCCACGGTGAACATCGCCAGAGAGGAAGCAAAGGTTTGTTGAGTAAAATCTGGACAAGTCGAAACCACTCAGCAGAACATTCCACCTTGATAGTTTTTCTTATTTCTCTGACCGCTGCGGGAACCTTTCACTATATTTTCCGATCTCTTTGGTGCCACCCATAACACAGAGCAAGTAAACACTTTGCTACTGAAACTCAGAACTTTTTGTACGTTTTGTGTTTCATTTCTTAAAACAAGTCTGTGTAAAAAAAAATTAAAATTATTCCAGACATAACACTAACATTTCATTTCCCTACTTTCCCAAAACTATGAAGAGACCAGTTAATGACAACATAAATCTGATTGATATTAGACGCTTTTACCCTATCGGGTGTAATCCAAAACGAGGGGTAATCCGATAACAATGAGATAATAAGAAAAAGAAAGAAACTTGCCAAATCTCCCTTTGTCAAAGTTCACCCCCACTGACTTGAATATTGCTTTTCCAGCAGAAGATCCACCCTCCTTGCCCTTACATGTCTGTTACCTATATCTTGCTTTTTAAAAGGTGAATCAAACAAAGTTTCTGTTCCTGAACTGAAGCTTTAAAAAATGAAAAAAGGAAGGGTGGACTTGGAGATGGAGTGAGAGGAAAATAGAAGTGCTACTGGTAACTATAATGGGGATGTTACCGCAGATGGCCTTTGTCTGAATGGAATACACAACCTAATTTTGTCAACAACTACCAGATGCACAGTTGTGCTGTGAAGGAATGTGAAGTTTCTACTCTTCAGATGGGTTTACTGCAGGACCATAACATAATAATTAAATTATCTTCTCCTTTCCTTTCTCCTTCTCTTAAATTCTTCGCTTGGTATTTTTGCTTTTATAATGCATATGTCCCACAGATTTATTTTATATTACGTTAAATGTTTTTATATAATTATATAAAAATATCTTGGCTGTGTCCTTTTAAAGGATATAAACTGAATAACCGATTATATCTTGGAAGCAGATAATTATAAAGAAACACAGGGAATGTAACTACAATTCAATGCCAAGATTATATGAGAATCTGAAACAATCCTTATATAAACGGAGACACTGATACTGCAAAACAGTATGTTATAAATAAAAATTTAAAATGTGGGAGATTGTTTATAGGATCCTTGAGTAGATAAAACAAAATTAGAATTTAAAAAATCATCTATGCAGCACTGTCTGATAAGCAACCTCCAAAATGGAATAGATCCTCTAGGCTTTCAACACTTTCCCAGTGGCCTCATCATTACTTCTGAGAATGACACTGAGGTAGCATGTGAAGTTTACTGTATTCCTTTCATCTACTGAATAAGTAATACTCACTGGTGAGAGTATGAATACTTTTCCATTAAATTCAATAAATTCTTGAACATATCATTTTTAGCTATTGTAGATACTGTTATTAATATGGTGACATGCTTTCTGGTGCTATTATTCTCTTGCTGTCTCTCTCGCACTCATACAGAGAGAGAAAGAGAAAAACAGTGAGTTTGCTGGTACATTTTTTTAAAAGGCTATTTTATTTTAAATCCACATATACAGATATTTTGTAATTTCCCTGCACGTTTTCACAGGTAAATTTGGTTTTCATATAGCATCAAAATGTCACACACTATAACTGTAATAAAGCCAGATGGAAAAAAGTCCTTAATCCAGCTAGTCTTCTAGTTTCCTAGCATAACTGTGATGAGTGGTAACATTCTAATTCAGGATCACTAAGTCATAAATATGATTTTCACTATATAGCATTTGTAAAAAAGAAAAAAACAATATATGAATTTCAGTTGGGACAAAGGGTGCTGGAACAATTTTTGGTGGGGGGTGCTGAGAACCAAACTGAACCATTGAACCAAACTGTAGAGCCTGTATATGATGGAAACCACTTCAAGCCAGGGGGTGCGGCAGCCCCCTCAGCCTCCATAGTTCCAGTACCTATGGTTGGGACTAGGGTTGGCTAAGAATAGAAAACGTAAAAGCTTTTTTTAGAGGAAAGCTAGGGAAGAGGGTGATTGTCAAGGCTGGATCCCCACTTTGAACTTTAGGGTTCAAATGTAGGGGCCTGCATGAAAACTTCTAAGCTTATCTACCAGCTTAGCTTTGGTCCGCTGCCACCATCACAAGAATTCCCTCCCTGGGAAGCCTTGAGAAACCTTTCACCAATTCCCTGGTGAACACAGATCCAAACCCCCTTGGATCTTAAAACAAGGAGAAATTAACCATCCCCCCTCCTTCCTCTCACCCTCCTTTCACCAACTCCTGGTGAATACAGATCCAAACCCCCTTGGATCTTAAAACAAGGAGAAATCAATCTGGTTCTTAAAAAAGAAGGCTTTTAATTAAAGAAAAA